AGGGGTGTCCAAACTTTTTTCACAGGGGGCCAGGTGCAAAAAAATGTCGGCTTGGGCCGCATGTCTGTAAAAAAAAAAAAAACCTACTATTAGACAAGCTACTTGATTATTGCCATTAATTTGTCTTTGTCTGCTTATGTTAAATATGCTATTGTCTAAAAATGTTATGTGTGCGCTAAATATATATTTTTATATGCCCCATGATATTATATAATTTTTTAATCTAAGAATCATTACAATGTATTGCTTTCAATATTTTTTGTACTCACCATTATTAACTTATTAATGTGAAGAGTGATGTTGTGCCTTGGATTTCAGAATTGATGTCAAGTCAGGAGTAAGTCGTGTAGTAGAGATACGAAGCAGATCACAGAGATGGCTGTCAGTCAGCCTGGCTCTCAGTGGACTCTTGTTCAGCGTCATCAGCGAAAATGTTTGCTCACATATGTACGTGGAGCCAAACAGACTCATCATCCTTTGAGCATGACGTTTGATTAAGGGGAATCTGGATGTTTCCAAACTCTTGTAAAACTCGGACAGGGGAAGAAGCTGGTGGCGGCTGCGAAGAGAATCATCGCACTGAAGTTCTATGAGTTCCAGCTGCACATTCTCTTGTACTTCTTCTACATTAACAGAGAAAGGGGTTGAGAACAGTTTGATGTCGCTATCAATAGCGGAAAAGTCTTGAAAACGCTGATTAAATTCTGTGATTAAGGATGTGAGCACTGTCGAATATTTATCCATTTTTCCAGGGATGTTGGAGTCTGAAAAACTCGAGATGATTTCGGACAAACTAGGAAAGTGCACAGCATTGCGGTCACTGATTTGTCTCTCAAAAAGTCTTAGCTTCACAGCAAAGGATTTCAAGTGCGCATACATTTCCGATATCAGCTGGTCCTTGCCTTGCAGGCTTTTATTCAGTGCGTTCAGGTAACTGGTCAAATCAACTAAAAAAGCAAGGTCTGCCAGCCAGTCAGGGTTATTGAGTTGATCAAGTGTCAGATTTTTTTCTTTCAAAAACTGGTCAATTTCAGCCATCGCACGTTGGAGTGATATATTACGTCACCGTATTCTGCATCAATATCAGACAGAAATGCCCGGAATTCTCTGTGGTTGAGCGCTCTTGAACGAATCAAGTTTATAGTTTTTACCACAGTGGTCATCACATCATCCATCTGGATGGCTTTGGCACAGAGCGCTTCCTGGTGTATGATACAGTGCATTTTCACAGCCTCACCTCCACTTTCGCAAACTTTGTTGCATACCATGGAAGCCATTCCATTCCGCTCGCCGATCATGGCTGGTGCTCCATCGGTTGTAATGCCACAGAGCTTGGCCCAAGGGAGATTCATGTTTTCAATCGCACATGATACGGCTTCAAAAAGATCTTTTCCCGTTGTTGTACTCTTAAGGCTCTTCATTTCAAGTAGCTCTTCTGAAATGCAAAAATCACTGTCCACACCTCGCAAAAAAATTAACAGCTGTGCAGTATCTGTGGAATCAGTGCTGTCATCACACGCAATTGGGTAAAAATCAAACGTGGGAACTTTGTCTGTCACTTGTTCTTTTAGATTTGCTGACAAGTCTTCAATTCTCCGTCCGACTGTGTTTCTTGAAAGACTGATATTTTTAAAATCTTGCATCTTTTCTGGGCAAATTATTGTGGCAACTTTCATCAGACACTCCTTTATAAGTTCGCCTTCAGTGAAGGGTTTTCCGTGCCGCGCTATTAGGTGAGCTACCTCATAACTAGCTAATGTAGAATTTTCCTGTGCTTTATTAGCACGAAAAAATTGTTGTTGTTGAGCTAACAAGGCAGCTGCCAATTGTTTCACCTTTTGATCGCGCTCAGCACCAGTGTAAGATTTGAAAGACTGATGTTTTGTTTCGTAATGTCTTTTAACATTATATTCCTTCATCACCACTCCTGGCTCCTGGCAAATTAAACACACATTTCCCGCTCACCTCCGTGAAAAAATATTCATTTCCCCATGAAATCTCCATAATTAACAATAATTTGTTGTTTTTTAACCTCTTCATAAACGTAGGCCTACGTCTGACTAACTGCATTGGCTGCATGTGATAGCGACACCTGATGGTTATTTAGTGAATTTGATCTATTTTTCACTATAAAGGGCCAGATTCGTATTATTTTTAAAATCCCTCGCGGGCCGCCACAGGAACGATCGCGGGCCGCAGATGGCCCGCGGGCCGTAGTTTGGACACCCCTGGTTTATAATGACATATGCTGTCTTTTTACGTGTTGCGTTGCATCGTGCCGCCTAAACATAAAACCATATCTGCATTTGTGATCGAAAAAATTACAAACAACAAGCGCTACTCTACACTGCTCAAAACTTGTGTTTGAATCATCAGTGGCAAATCCTTTAAATATGAAAACGTACTTACAGGCTGTGAGTCAGCATTATTTGTCAGAACACTGGCATTGTAGTCTACTCTCCCAGGAAACAGTCCTCGTCCTCCGTAAAATGCGTTGCACACATCTGAATATTTGGTTTGAACTGTTCTGGAACAGTGTGGTAAATACAACTTAACCATTGATTTCTAGTCGTGTCTTCTTTTGGAAGACCAAACAAAGTAGTTTCTCTTTCACAACAAAACACACAGCATTTCCACGACAGGTGGTGGCAACAACAATACTACAGCAAGAATCAAAGTTACGCCTTCTTTCTTTGCGTGAACATTTGGGCGGCGTTATGCAAATCTTCCCACATGGTGACGTAGACATGTGGGGGTGTGTTAGAACGAGCCGTTTTAGGTAGGCGTGGTCGACTCTTAACTTTTATAAAGAAAATCTCTTTGGATTTGAGACTTTATAGTCTTTGCAACTTCAGGGATCTTATCAATTCACGAACAGCTTGTAACACTCCAAAGAGAAAGGAAAACTTGAAATCGCATCATATGACCCCTTTAATACTTGTTATATAATATTAAAATTCATTTATACATAGCACACACAAATATTGACTATATGTACATTTTAAAAAGATTGATTGTTTCATTGTCAATAAAACTAGTATTATCTGTACTTTCCAGTATTGAATGACACTTTTTCAGTATTGAAAATATCTATCTCTACAATTTGTTCTGGGAATCCGGGATTGTCTTCTCTGTTACAAATACATTTGAATGTGTTTTACAATTCATCCAAAATGAAGTGTGATATAAGGTTGCCTTTTAGAAAGGTGTTTGCATCATTAATATGAGCGTGGGTAAGTGGGTAGCTCGCTAGGTTTTGGAACAGAGCTTCTGTGTAAATTTATGTGTGTGGTAGATGTCTCGTTTGTATATTTGTGAGTGCGTAATGGGGTTTGGATTTTGTTTACGCTGTTACTAAGCATTACCAAATTGCGAGCTAAAGTGTAGCCTCTGTCACACCATTTTAGTCAGGGCCGTGAACATCATATGAAGTGGGCAGTTGGCAGACGTGACGGCACATTGTTTGTTTTTCAGAAAACGGCCTTGCTGACTGTTGTGCAATTGTTTGAGCGGACTTGTCTGTATGCGAATAAAAATCTGTTTTAGCAGGGGATAACTGCAGATTGAAATTGTAAATCCTCGTCTTCACCCAGGGAGCAGGTCTACCCCATTCCCGTCTTGTGAGAGACCCAATCGGGACCTCTGGGCCAAGAGATTTAATGAAAGCACAATCTGCACTTAAGACATTTTCATTTCATCTGAACTAAACCCTTCCTCCCTGTTATATCTCCACAGCTACCTGAATGATTTAGACAGAATATCGCAGGCCACCTATATACCCACTCAACAGGATGTGCTGAGGACTCGAGTCAAAACCACAGGCATTGTTGAAACACACTTCACTTTCAAAGACCTCCACTTCAAGTGAGCACTTCAGGTTGCTTTATTCCAAAACTGCCAAAAACATATTCTTGGCTAATCTAATTTCAACCTAAAATCACAAGAAAAAGAAATGATAGTTTGCACAAAAATCAAGCCTATTTTAGGACCATTTTGGACTTTTTCTGTTCTCCAATTCTCAGTAGCTTACAATAATAGAAGAAAATCTCATTATTATTGAAGTGAGAAAATATTATTTTTCAATATATATACACCATATATTTAATGCACTTGCAAATACTTCAATTGAGAAGTGCATTTGTAGAATGTAATTGTACATGTACAGTATGCTAGTATTAGTTGTACTGAATTTATGCTGATTGTAATAAAACATCATTAAACATAATGTTATAAAACAATTATAAAAAATTATTACAGTAATGGAAATTTGGGGAAAATTTGTATAATGGTCATTGAAATTATAATACAAAAAATCTTAATGGTTCAAATATGTAGGAAAAAAAAAATATATATTTTTTTTAGGGTAAATATGACTTCATAGTGATGTATTAGCTTTATTACACTTAGCATAATATCAAATGTATTTGCATATCCAAGGATTGAGCTATTAGGAAGTACTTCATAGTTTAGACTGTGGAGATACTGTGTGACTGCAATCATGTGCAAGAATGATAGAAAAGAGAAGCAGAGAGAGACAAATAGAGAAGTGTCAGTCTCTGACTGGTTTGCACTCTGATTCAGACAGGAAGAGGAAGTATATATCGTCAGTTTCTTTGCCCATATTTAGCTATAGACCTCTCGGAGTTGAAAACTATTGTTCAACTCAATATTTGTGTATGCTATGTATTTGTATGCTTATTAGAGCAGCAGTAGCTTAGCAACATGCTAACACCAAACTCTATTAAAAGCAATTGTCTCATAAGAACACTATTTTTGGGGGCATAGAATTGTGAGTACCACAACAATCACTTCTGTGGTTTGATTTCAGCTAGTATGCTCCCTTAATAAGGCAGCTCACTAGTTTAGAACAGAGTTACAGAAACTTGATAACCATTTTAAAATGTCATGTATTTCAGGATGTTTGATGTTGGGGGTCAAAGGTCAGAGAGAAAAAAATGGATCCACTGTTTTGAAGGTGTAACTGCCATCATCTTCTGCGTGGCACTGAGCGATTATGACCTGGTGCTGGCCGAAGATGAAGAGATGGTACCAAAGTACTTCCTGTGGCTTTAAACAATACAGAATTAAAGTGCTTGCAAGGCAGTGTATATAGAAAGTCCACTTTTTCTTTTTCTTTCATTTGTTATTACATTTTGTGGTTTAAGCTGGAAGCATGAAATGTGCAAACTTCATTCAAACTTAAAAAAAAAAAAAAATTGTATAGTAAATGATAGTTTTTGAATGCCCAGTGGAAGATTTACATATTTTTCTTAAATGTCTTAGAGTTTATTTGTGTACAGAATTGTGATTTGTCTACTTTCTACTTTTTATTAATTAAAAATAAAAGACGATTAAAACATTTTTGTTAACTGAAATGAAGCTTAAATCAAATCAAATATTAATATTAGATGAAAAACAAACGTACATTTTTCTGCCTTGCAAGCATTGGTATTTCTGTATTTCATACAGAAAATGTAAATCTGTATACTGTGGTCTTAAATCGATAGTTGCCCAAAAAAGACAATTCTGTAAATTTACTCAATCTTACATTAGAGGAAAAACAATGAAATGGCATATGATAGCTTTGTGTGAGCAACAATCTGACATTTAAGTTATTTAACAAAAATCCAGTTTTAGCAACTAGGACATTCCGCTACATAACTGCTTTTATCCCTGTAAACCGATTATAGATTTGATAAAGATCCTATTGTATACAGGTCCTATTATATGAAATCTATTTGAATGTGTGAATGGGGGGTAAATTAAGACTGACGAGAAAACCAGTTCTTGCATTTATCATATAATCCATGTCAATGTCATATTGATTCAGTTCGAGTCCTACTTTATTAAGGGTTCGCAAACAGGTATTGATTGATATAATGGTAAATGGCAGGGGGCTAAAGCACATCTCCACCCCCAGTCTGTATTCCATAAATCAAGCTTTCGAGCTGTGTTGAAAGGCAACTCGATATAAAGATGTAGTCACTACAGTAAATCATCACTGAGTAGACTGTGTATATTATTGTGTGACATAATATAGTGTTTAAAGTTGCTTCCAAGCCAAGATGCTTAATAGACACCCCCTTTCTATTTCTCAAAGTCCTAATTTCTTATATTCCATCAACCAATTTCTCTTTCTGCAGAACCGAATGCATGAGAGCATGAAGCTGTTTGACAGCATCTGCAACAACAAGTGGTTCACGGACACCTCTATCATACTGTTCCTGAATAAGAAGGATCTGTTTGAGGAGAAAATCAAGAGGAGCCCACTCACCATCTGCTACCCAGAATACGCAGGTCAGACCCCCATACTGGATTTGTAACAATATATTGTATTTTGTCATTTTCTATTTTCATTTAAATTTTGGTTAAAGTTTTAGTAATTTTGTTTGATTTGTATTTTGTCATTTTCATTATTTATTTATTTTTCATTCGTTTTATTACGTTTTAGTTTTAGTCTCAGTTCATTTAGTACTTCAACTAACTATCTAATTTAAAACTAAATGAAGTTTAGATTTTTTTTTATGGCGCAGCTGCAACATTATTTCCACTCAGTAATTTTAAAATTGTGATTTTCAAGTCTGGATTAAATGTTATTAAAAGATTATGGACACAGCTCTAAATTATTATTCAACATGGGGGGTTGAAGGCCAGAGCAAAAATCACAACCATAATCATTATTGATGGAATAACATTTGTGTGGTCTAGGCTTGCCGCGATAGACGGTGCTGACGGTGTTAAGCCGCAACACCAGTTACGTCACTTGCCCACCGTGTCACCGACCCCCACCGTCGTTTTGATTTGTTATAGTACCATATTGACCCGAATATAAGACGATGTTTTTTTCTTGGAAAAACATCTGAAAAGACGCGGTCGTCTTATATTCAGGCTCTAGACTTTGACATGTCAATAATACACCCACAAAAATAGGTGGCGCCAAATACACATAAAACGAGTGTGCCATGAAATACGTAATGTAATGCGTGTTGTAAAGATCGCGAGTAAAAATAAAAGAAAAAGAAAACCTTACAGCTGCATGAGTCGTGACTGTCACGTTAGCCTGATGGGACCAAACTCCCTTTGTGATTTTAAAACGTAAGACAGTACCCAGATTTGAAGACTACAGTAAGATTTAACTTCTACTGTTAATAAGATTTTGGTAGGCTACTATTAGATGGATAGCCTAAATGTCCTAATTCAGATGGGCTACCTGTTTTTTTTTTTCTTTTTTTTTATGGAATATCAAAAAGTGTATATTTTTTTAAATGTGATTGTTGGAAGCAATTGACGCCGAACTGCCGCTAATTCGAAAGTGAAAGTAAAATGCGCACGGCGCTTTTAAATTATATAAAAGCGAAGGAAAGCGAGGAAAAGAGGGGAAATTCAAACAAACTAAAAACGAACAATTGCTTTACTCCTAATTGCCGCTATTTGAAAGTGAAAGTAAAATGGGCACACCGCTTTTACAAGCTATTTAAAAGCGAAGGAAAGCGAGGAAAAGAGGGAACGCCCCGCCCCCGCGGTGATACCGGTATTACTGGCGTTGTCACACGTCGATTAACCGGTGGAAAATTTCCTCACCGTCACAACCCTAGTGTGGTCCTTTATATATTACATTGTTTCCAGTTATTTTATATGTCACAGGAACAAGTGACATCACTTCCTCATATTGAAAATATTTCCTGTCCATCTCACAGGGTCAAATACATATGAAGAGGCTGCCGCCTACATTCAGTGTCAGTTTGAAGATCTGAATAAGCGGAAAGATACCAAGGAGATCTACACTCACTTCACCTGCGCCACCGACACCAAGAACGTGCAATTTGTCTTTGACGCAGTGACTGATGTCATTATCAAGAACAACCTGAAGGACTGCGGACTCTTCTAGAAGCTGGCTTGTATCTGGTGAGGATCAGCTTCGTAAATGTCATGTGCGCCTGTGCCATGCTGGTGTGCTGGCCAAGCAGTGTGTGTTTATATACAAAATAATCAATGTTCCTATTGCGGATGAAGTCACATACTTGGCCTGGAGCCATCATGGAATAAACACTGCAGAACAAATGTGTGTTTAAAGGTTATGTGTGTAGTCAATTAATTGTTTTGGTAAAGAATGATCATTTTTTGGTGAACTGATTCTTCATGGCATGAGTTTAGGGCCGGACTACCTCCTAAGGGGGGCAAAGGTTTTTTAAAATATATACTTTCACTCAGCAAAGATGCATTCAGATGAAAAACTTGAACTTTCTATTCATCAAAGAATCCTGAAGACAAAAAAAGTGTATCATGATAAAAAAAAAAATATGTATCAATGCTTTCAACATTGACAATAATAAGAAATGTTTCTTGAGAACCAAATCAGCATATTAGAATTTCTGTAGTACCATGTGACACTGAAGATTTCTATTTTCTTTCTTAAATATATTAAAACAGAAAACAGTTAATTGTAATAATACTATTATTTCACACTATTACTTTTTAATGTATTTTTTGATTCTGGAAAAAAAAAAATGCAAGTTTGAGGAGCACAAAATCTTACCAATGACAAACTTTTGAATGGTAGCTTTTCTATAATCATAGTGTTATATACAGTACCACCTTTTAATCATGATGTTAAATGTTGAATTGTAATGATGGGTGTGAACTATACTCAAAATTGCAGTAAGTAGTTTACTCCTTATGCCTTGTTTGAATATGATTTAAGTCACATTTTAGTAACTCTTTTTTTTTTTCATTTTAGGTGCAACGGAAGCCAGTTTTGATGTGCATTTTGTTGGAGAAAGAATGCAAGAATAAGTATGCAGAAAATTGGTCTTGGACCAGTGCTGTACATTACGCCACTTTTGTCAGCTTTATTTATGGTTTTTGTCTCTGGAAATTTAAAAACGTAGCATTTAAAAAGGAGTCGTGTCGAATGTTCGTACAGTCGTTGCTGTCGCAGCCATGTTGTTTATTTTTCACCATGACAAGTTTGTTTCTTTTAGACGATGGATTTCTTTTTATTTTGCTCTCTTGCATCAGAGGAGTTCCCCTTTACTTGTAAAATTTTACTTTTTTTTTTTTGCCTTTGCGGTTGTTGCTATGGGGAGAGAGGAAGATTGTGCTTCTCAATCCGGTTTGTTGGTTCTCGTGCCTTCGCATGCGTTTCTGCAGTCTTTGTCCATTTGCTTGGGGTTTGCCTGCTGAATATCTCTCCAACATCAAAAAATGTCATACTGGATGTTACTAATCTGAGAGCACAAATCCTCATATGCATAATGTGGGTGTGTGTGAGATAGAGAGTGTTTGTGTATCTGTTTGCGTGTGTATGTATATATATATATATATAATACGCGATGTAGTGAAAGCTAATGGTTAATACAGTGAACGGTGGCCCAAACCTGCGGGTCTCCATGGCAACAAGAGTAGACCAAACAGTCATTTCAGATGGAGATGAGTCCTGTTCAGCTGTCAGACGCGGAGACGTTCCGCACGCAGGACTTGGAATGTGTCTCTCAAGCACCTGTCATCAGACACTGGCCGCCGTTTTAACGGCTTACTGCTCGGATAATTACGTGTCACCGAGGAACGCAACTGAGAGACAGAGGGACTGAGAAGGGGTTCGGGATTCACGGAGAAAAAACAACAACAATATGATAATGTCTGCAAACAGACGTTTGAGGCAAGCGATACTGTTGATTGATTTTGAAGAAAACTGCCACCTCTGTCTGTGTGTTCTCCATATTGGGGGAACATTTGTACACTCATTTCCCTTATTTTGCTAATAAACGGCATTTACTTCCCTGAGCTGTATATTTGTAGTCTTTTGTCACCCTCTACTCATCCCTATCTTCTCACTGGCTTGAGAAAGAAATTCTAAAGCAGCCACACATGTATGATATGAGGAGAAAGCAACCCTAAAATGTATTGCAACAAGCTCAGTGAAAAAGCAAATCCAAAATGGCCAACACAATGTAAACGTACACTTCATTCTGTACCAAAAAGTATTGATATTAGTAAGTTTAGTGTACTTTAAAATTGATTATTTTACCTAATATTATTTTCCGAACCAGAATACCACACTATTAGCTTAGCCTCATGCTAACATCAAACTCCACTGAAATCAATTGCTAATCAAATCTCCTGAGTGGAATATAAAACTGTTCTATGTAAAGTGTGCCAAATCACTCATGAGGTTCCATGTCAGATTCACATTTACCGCTGCTCAGTTATTTATTTGTTGAAAGTGACTTTGGTGTGAGCGGTGCTTTGTGCATCGCTACACTATTAACAATAGCAAATGGACTCTCATTAACTAATTCTGCTAATGGTTTGTGAGTCTATATAAAGGCCTTCATATCCTTGTCAGTCAACATAAAAAAAATGTCATTCACAATTCATTGCACTTTGTAAAGTGTCTTTTCCAGTGAAATGGGGAAAATAATGTACAATGGAACTTTATTTATCCATCAGGAACTGACTGGATTATAAGAAAGTGGGTGTTCTAAAGAAAAACGGAGCCAGTCTTGAATGAGAGTTTGCTAAAAACAATTCCCAAATAGCTGTCTGGCTATTGGCTAACATTATGACTGGCTCACTGACTGCCAAGAAAAAATGTAATGAAATCAGTGTGCTAATAGAAGCTTCAGACAATTATAGCCCCCTGTTGCCTCAGATAAGACTCCGGGTGGTATTTTCCTAACCTGTTTATAGTAAAAGCATGCTATCAAGTGTAGTTGCTGGATCCATAGCTGGGCAAATGGAAGCACTGAAGATTACAAGCTACTCTAGGGAATCATCCAGAGAACCTGGCATGAATATAGGTCACAAGCCAGGGGGCCAGTAGAGGAGGATATAGAAAATATCACTAAAACAGCTTTTTAGTGCTCATAGTTGTTGAAACGGGGAAATCCATAGTAAACTTCTGTTTTTTGTTCTTTCCAAGAAAGGGATGGACATTTCTAGGTGATTAAAACTAAAGCCAGAAATAAAATGTGCGCTTCAAATGTCTGTGCCATTAACCCAAATGTGTTATTATTAAAATGTGTTATATTTTTGTCTCCACAAAAACTGTATTTCACACTTTTAAGGCCCCTACTAACAAGTACTGACAAAACGTATATTATAATAAAAATATATGTGAGAATATTTAAATAATCATAGAATATAAAATGTGCACTTTTATGATCATTTATTCTAGCTTATCCAAAAAGTTACGGTTGTAGGCCAAGCAGGTTTTCTAATGGACAACTGAAAATTGCTTAGCTTATCTAATATGATATGACGTGTAACTAGAAGCATTGGTGCTCATGTAAATATTCGTTGTTTTTGTGCTCACTTGAATATTTTCGCACCTACGTCATCTGTAAATCCTCACCTTCACAGACAGCTGAACCACAGTGCTCTCTCTCTCTTTCTTCAACTTGAGGTCAGGGCTGACGTGCTGAGTGCTATATTTATGAGGATTTGCTGCCTATGGAGGAAGAACAAGACAAGAAAAGATGAAAAGATCATGCTGTATTTTTAGACGAAAAAAAAAAAAAGCGAGATAAATTAGTGATGATGTCATAAGGGGGTGGGCTGAGGGGATGATGATGGAGCAGTTTGACAGTAGCTGCATTGCTGACAAACTGACGCAAATGAGCTGAACGACTGATGTTTTTCAGAGAACAAAGAACATTATTGTAGTGCTTATTTCTATATTTATTAATATGTGTTTGTGATTACCAGTTAGCAGCACAGTGATAAAGGGTCTTATCAGTGTTGTTCCAGCCCTGTACACAATGTCAGTGTCAGGCACCTTATTTAGCACAAAATGAATGCCACTTGCCTTACCTTGGTTTCAAAAACACACACAAACACGATAGTATATACATACATATATGCACGCTCACACACACACACATATATAAGCTGACATTTTCAGCAAACAATTACTCAAATGTCTTTGTTCCTCACATCAAATTGCTTCCGAAGGTATTTTCATAACATAAGAGCTCCAGTCCCCATCCACTTTCACTGTATGGAAAGGAGCAGTTTGGACATTCTTCAAAAGATGGGGGGGGGGTTGGATTGATGATAATTTCTAGGGCTGGGTATCGATTCAGATGTCCCGATTCGATTCGATTCTCGATTTTTTTTTTATTACATTCAGTGAATATAGTTTTAATACAAATGCTATTGATATTTCTAAAAAATTAACAGTAAACATCAGTTTACAAATGGTGAATTAATAAAAAGAAATTAAGAACCACATGCCTGTATTTTAAACCTATTATTTTTTTTTTTGTATAGGGTCCTTTTTTAAACAATAATAGCGCCCTATAAAATGTTCTTAATTTTTCTGGTAATCAGATGAAGGCATAAAACATTAATTTAATTTATCCTAATCAAATGAAAATTAAAGCCTTTTACTTTTTGGCAAACAAAGTGCTGCACAACAGAGGTTTACTGTTGAAATTAAAAAGAAAACAGATGTGATTATTCCTTTAAAAATAAAGATTTATTAATATTTATTAGCAGTAGTAGCATTGAGTCTTCAGACTGCTAAATAGTCATATATTCTGACAGTAGAACGTTAAACTAAACTTTTATTTTGTATAAACAAACGCTTACACACGCTTTAGTATGTGTGTAGTAAACAAAACAGTGCTTGTAACATCGCGCAAGGTAAATAAGGGTGACATCTAGTGGAGAAGACTAATGATAAGATTCACGTTAATCAGATCTTGTTTTAAATGTGTGCTGAAATAAATACTGGAAAAGATCGATTCGCGGCTTTTGAGAATCGATATCGAATCGACGTCATTTAAAAAAACTTTAATTTTTCCGATTAATCGGAAAATCGATTTTTTTGCCCAGCCCTAATAATTTCTTTGGCACATGAGTGTGTCTAATTGTTGCATCCATTGAGCACTCAGTGTTCTCTGTTGAGTGTGGGAGACGAGAAGCATTACATTTTCCATTAGTGACCTTCTCATGCAATTAGACATGTTGTAAAGCATTAATTTGATTAATAGATAGCACTTCCACCGAAGCAAGAAGCTTTTGAGCATAGAAACTGCACATCCAAACACACAATTTAGCGTTTCAGTTTACATACCCAAAGCTTTGGTAATCTAAAGAAATTATAACTTGATATAACTTGCACAAACCTAAAAAAACAGGGGGAAAAAGCTGTGCTTGAGGCACGTGTATGAGATCTTTTACCTCTTTCTCTGTAACCAGCAGCCTTTTTCTTTCATATTAAGGCATGCCCCATGATGTCATCAACTCTGGACTCCATAGCAACAGAGATATTCCTTTGCTCTGGTGATGCCTTCAGCAGGCTGTTATTAATAGCTCCTGATGTTTTCACTGGGACATTGAACAATGCGTAAAGATGCACATGTACTCATGTTCGGCTATTATAGTTCTTAGAACCGATTTTTGATGTGGTTCATGTCAGCTGAACAATCAGTTGAACAATGACTAATTTTGAGCATTTTCATAAAACAGTTACCTAGAAATAGCACTAAAGAGTCCATTTAAAAACAAATGAACATTCATCGACAGTGAAAAGAGGCTGCTATCATTTTCCACAAGCTGATAGCAAATGGTTAAAGTGGGTCACAGACCAATTTTGTTGCCCACTCTGCGATCAGTTTGTTTTTCCCTCTCACTCTCGCTCTCCCTTTATTGCTAATTTCTCACGGTATGCATACATTCATCCCACATCTTGCTGCTTTAGTATACAGTGCCGAGACACAGTGTTCATATCATATTAGGAAAACTCAACAAAAACACAGTTTATTCATACAGACATGAATAAAACTTGAAAGAAGTGTGCTCTTTTTTCAAAGAGTCAAGACTGATAATTGTACGGCTGACAATAAAACAGATGAAAACATCTCATATACTCACGCTGACAGGCATTTAAGAACCAAAATGGGTCTTTTTGCCTTTATCTTTTTATTTTTAACCGTAATATTGTGAAATATTATAAAGATTTTAAATAACTGTTTTCTATTTTAATAAATCATCAAATGTAATTTATTTCTGTGATGGCAAAGCCGAATTTTAAAATACTAGTCTGGTAATAATTTCTTCTTATTAACTATGTTGAAAACAGCTGTGCCACTTAACATTTTTGTGCAAACGAATACTTTTTTTTTTTTTTCAGGTTTCTTGAAAGTTTTTTTTTCAGCGTTTATTTTAAATAATTTTTTATAGTGAAAAGTCTTACGGTCACTATTAATCCATTAAAAAGCATCCTTGCTGAATAAAATTAATTTTAAATAATTTAATTGAGTAATTAATTTAAATCTTACTGACCCCAAATGTTTGAACAGTAACACTACAGAAATAAAAGTCGGAATCCTTAAATGACATTTACTGTAGTAACACACGACCAACAGTTTCAGTTGGTACTCTTACGCAATGTTCTCGCAGTGAACGCACATCCTGCGTCTTTGGACTTTCAGTTCAGGCTCAAATATGAAAACAAACGGTGAATATCTGTTATATTTAAGCATTGTATCACAGGAAGATGACTGTCTGGATATAGCAGAATGTGTTTGTTGGGGCAGATGTTTATGTTGTTTTACCGAATCGAGAATATGTGGGCAGAACGCTGAGAGTTGTTGCATGAATCATCTAAAGCATGGCCTAACATTTCTGAGTCTGAGTTCATACGGTGACATGAAGACACAATTTATATGCAGAGCAGCAGCCCACAAACACTCCTGCGTCTGTAAACAAGGAAACAGAAAATGCAATGCTGTTACACAAACAGAAATGTTCATCATGCCATCATTCTGGTCGGTTCTGGCACCATTTTAACCTGCCAGAATGAAATGGATTTGATAAGATGAACATGGCTGATGAATATTAAGCAGGTGAATGCTCAGTTAGCATAGTAACATCTGTCCTCCAGTCATTAAAATGTGCTGTTTCCAGCCCACCACATGGAGCAGCGCCACCGCTTAAGCACTTAATGGATGATGGTGAGCAGCACTGGAGCTCCACGTATATATATTTAATCAGTTAATTTGTCATTTAGACATGCTGCTTTCAGAAACTCTTTACCTAATTTAGAAGGATGAAAAATGCACAGGCTTAATTCATTCCTCATGCATGCTAAATGTGGATGACCATTTTATGTTCGAATGATGGCTGCTTTAATTATTGTGACCTTTTAGCGATCAGACAATAACGTATCAATTGAATAACGTGTATAAATCCATATAATAAATAATCACATTCACATAAATAATTAACTAAGCGCTTTTGATCTTTTTTCAGGAATTTGATAACATTTTGGCGAATAGCACATAATGTTCCCTTGACACTCAACAACTGTGTTGAAAAAAAATTGTCCAATTACACAATCGGACAAGACTTACTGTTGGTTAGGTCAAAGCAATCAGCAATTTCACACCCTCTCAATTTCGAAATGAAAGGACAAACCCCAAGTTGTTCAGTTCCTCATTCTGATTTATTGAGTGGTGGAACATGCTGTCCTGTATCACAGCGCCACCCAAAGTACATGGGAGGAATGATTTGTTCACCGCCTCGTTGAGGGTCTAAATACACTCTAAAAAATGCTGGGTTAAATACAACCCAGTGCTGGGTAAAATAGGGACAAACCCAGCAATTGGGTTGTTTTGACCCAGCGGTTGGGTTACTACCCAGAAGGTTGGGTTAAACATTTAACCCAACCGCTGGGTCAAAACAGCCCATTTGCTGGGTTTGTCCCCATTTGACCCAGCACTGGGTTGTATTTAACCCAGCATTTTTTAGAGTGTACACACACACTTTACGAGGATGTTTTTTTTTAGGCATATGCCTAATATAGCAGACATCAAACATCTAATATACAAGTACTTTGGTAGGTTAAGTAATAAAGTCATTAAATAAACAAATAGTGTTAACGGTTAAAATTAAATTAATATTTTTTTCTGATAGTGTGCATTAATGAAGAGTCTTAAAGCATGTGTTGGGGGATTAATTAATTCTCAGGGGCTCTGCTGTTTCCTGTATGGGAAAGCAAAGCTCTTTAATGGGAGTCACGGAGTCAGTCATCAAAACGAAGCTGAATGCACACTCATCCAGAACAGAGTGGGAGCAATCATGATGATGGAAATTATCCAAAGACCCATTTATCATTTGAAACAGTACTATAGATTTGTATTCTAGATGTTATAAAGGGGAAAATATATGCATGAATCCGACATTAATTTTAAGCATTTCATATGGAAAAATCATATGATATAAATACCTTATGCCATCCTATTTCCTTCAGTATACTGCGTAATTTATTTACAAAAAGTTACATTTTAAAAATGTATGTTATGCATATGAATTTGTGGTGTTTGTACACTACTACAGTTCAAAAGTTTGGGATCCGTAAAATGTTTACGTTTTTAATTAGTCTCTTATGTCCACCAAGGTTGCATTTGTTCAAACAAAAATACAGTAAAGACTAAGCAATAT